TCCACCTGTGTTTCGAAGAGCGTATTTACAGCTTATCTGAGTTTATCTTATGACATGAACATTTATGCAAGTGTTTGGGAGAGTCATTAGTTGTTTTTGGTTTATTTCAATAAATTCTTCAAGATAACTTTTGAAAACAACTTACAACTTATATAAAAACAGTTTAATCTTATTTTCTCTTTGATTACAAGTCTGTTTGGATTCAAGTTAAAAGTATTTTTGAGAATTTTTTTTACTAGAAAAAGTGGGTTTATTTTTAGTAGAAAAGTTATCAAAAATCATTCTAAACTTGTATTCAAACAGACTCTATAGAAACAACTTATGCATAAATCTTGTATGATAAATACTAGTTTAACAAGTGTTTAATTATGTTGTTTACCCTAAAGTGAAGTCATTGGTCACTTATGTGTAACTTTATGATGGAACTTGTAGGTACTAGGTGAGGATGAGAACAATGTGAAGGCATTATTTAGGCGAGGTAAGGCTAGAGCAGCACTTGGGCAAACAGATGCTGCCAAGGAAGATTTTCTAAAAGCACGTAAATATGCCCCCGAAGACAAAGCAATTGCAAAAGAATTGAGGTTGCTTGCTGAACATGACAAGGCTGTTTACCAAAAGCAGAAAGAGATTTACAAAGGAATATTTGGACCAAGACCTGAACCAGTACCTAAGAGAAGAAATTGGCTCATCCTTATTTGGCAGTGGTTGCTTTCAGTATTCTATCGCCTTCTCACGCTCTTCAAGCGTGAAAGCCATAAATCTGACTGAACAAACAAGACCATTGGTGAGTTGACAATTGTTTACGTGCATCCTACGAAAAGCCACGTTTTGTGCTACTACTGAGGATATAATTATTTATACTTTTACTATTTCCCTTTGCTTGTGGAACAATCAGACGCTGAAATAACAGTTGTGATTTCACTCTTTGGCAATGCTTCCAACCTGTTCGTATGTTGCTTTCCAAATAGAGTTTGGTAGTTTGTCTAGAAGCACCTTGTTCTTTAATTTAATCTTTATTATTACAAAAAAAAAAATTGAAATGGGAAAGAACCAGTTTATCTAAAATCAGATAATTTTTAAGAAAATGCTGCATGCCTTTGAATTAATTCATGATTGGGTAGCTCTAATGCATGGATATTTTACAATTAACAACCTATTGAAAGGATGTATATTTATCATATTTCTTATTGGGATGGTTTTTGTTGTTGTATCGGTATCCATGTAACATAGTTAAGGATGAAAATTGAAAAAAGAAAAAAGAGAAAAAAGAAGATAATTCTCTCTTTCATTTGAAAAATGTATAGTTCCAGATCAGCAAGGATTCTGAGAGATGAGCATAGGAATGATCCAAAAATGACAACTCATACGGGAAAGTGTGCAAGGAAGAAGCCCCTATTTCCTAATAAATAAAAAATTGCCGGATTCATATGAAATTTGTCGGTCACATCAATTTTACGTGTTGCGTTTTTGTGGCAGGTTGCATATCCCTACAAGGCTGCAACCTTAATTTTTTTTAAGGATCACTTTGCTGTTTTACACACTTCATTAAGTTTATGAAAACAATTGAAAAGGTTGAAAAGAAATTTTGCTCCAACAGTAATCTTTGCCGTCCATAAATCTACTACTGCAACAGTTTTACCAAAATCGTGTATCCTACGATGCTATACTAACATTATTTAATCAAAGACTGGTCCAACTGCCCAAATCCTAAGTTAATAGACAACGGAAAATCCAACTCTATTTTTTCAGGTAAGGACGGATAAAGAAATCGTATTGTGTGCTCCAAGATAATTGATAATTGTAATCTTTTCTTATGTGCATCTACAATCTCACTCTACTTCAAGCTCAAGCCTCCAAGTACCTAGAAAAATATATGGATCTTCTGAAAAATAAATTACAATTACCTCTTTCATTTTTTTCACATCACTTATTTTATTTCACATTCCTTTTACTCTTCAATATTTATCTCTTTATCTCTTTAGTATACAAATTGTTGTGAAAAAACGTAAAAGCAGGAATAGGATTATTGGCATCCTCTTTCGGCCATCACAATTCTTACCCAACTAATATATAGAGAATCGCCAAGAGGAAATGAATATGCATATACAAGAGTAACCAAAGTAAAAACAACAATAATAAATAAAAATTTAAAATGGCCGCACACAGCCACCATCTATTACCGTTGACCAATACATAGCCATTCGTGTTCATAAAACTTTAATTACAAATGAGCATTTTCCAAACACATCTTATTGCTGTTATGCAAATAAATGGCCAGTGCTTACAATTAATTACAAGGGTGATCTTTTCTACAAACGAAAGGAAAGTGTAGAACTTGATCATAAGAAGTGACTATACTACCACATGGGTTTGGGCACAGAAGTCCAAGCAAAATAGGCACATACTAGCATCTGAGATATGTACACATAAACTGCAAACGATATACTCATCAGCAGCAAATCTTTCCAATCACCCTTTTGCTGAGGACTCAAATTCTCTTTCATCCTCTTCCCTACCTTCCCAATATTGTTTAACATTTTCCATTTCAACAACTTTGCCTTTTCTCCTTCTATGTCTTTCTTCTCTTCTGGACTTGGTTTACTACCTTGGCATGATAATAGAGTAAAAATTCTGGGTCTGTTTCTGTTGGTGAATTCATGAGCCAACACCCTTTTGCTGCAGCAACAGTGGCCAACAGTGAGAGATGCCATGGATCAGATTTTGGTTATTGATGAAAGTGTGGAATGTGAATAATTAGAGAAAGTTGGAATTTGAAGTAAACAAGCAGAAGAAGATAAATCTGTCACTTTGTAATTGGTAGTCTCTTTCTTTACGCCAACGCAGAAGAATAATATTGCAAGTTAGAATTAGATATTTTCTTCAAACACCCAAATGGATAAGTCTTTAGACCGTAGACCCATGCATTATGTGGAGGAGGAATAACAACTTGAGTTAAAATAAAAATAAAAAAAAAACTTTCTAAGGATTTCTAATTTTATCTTGTTGCCAGTGATGAGTCATATGACAATTATGTTTAAAATAGGTACAACTGTTATGTTCGATGATTGTAAAACTTTTTCTTTAATTATTTAACTCAATTATATATACAAAATTTATATTCTAAATATTTATATTATTTAATAATATGGAACAACTTTTACCGATTTATGCGTGCGTTTGGTGGTACAAAATAAAAATGGAAAAATTGAGTCAACTAATCTCTCTAAAATGCAAAAATCTTAACAATTAAAATAATTTTGAAAATTACAAGAAAAATTCAAAAAAAATAATAATAAAATTAGTAAAAAAAAATTATAAAAAATATAAATTTTGACTTAAAAAAGCATAAAAAATATAAATAATAAATTTTGTTAATTAATTTAGTCCCAAAATAAATATTAGTTGATAATATTATTATAACTGACGTGACAAATAGTACAATAGTGTCACATCAATTTGTACTATCAAATTAGTCTATATCTAAAAATAGTTAACAATTACATTAATTCGAAACTTTCAAGTAAGTCTCTACATTAATTTATTAAAATTTATTTTAACTCTTGAAAATTGATAATAACTTTCAATTTGGTCCTTACCAAAAATAGCCAACACATATTTTAAATTCTCAAACTAGTTCATGCATTAGTTCATCAAAATCCATTTTAGTCCCTATTAGTTACTAATAACTTTCAATGTCATTCTTAGACAAATAACTAACACAAATGATCTTGAAATGCTTGTAATGAAACTTTATGATATCTATGAGCTTACCCATTCATCCTAGCTAAATGTAATGGTGAACTTGAAATGAAAGAACCATCCAAACTCTTATTTTTTTTTCCTTAATCTTCCTTCACCAAGTTCATATTTTGTTTTTTTTTTCTTTAAATATTTCTCTTTCCATGTTTTAACTTTTAGGTTAAATTATATTTTTACTTTCTCTTAGGATTCAATTTAGTTTCATTATTTTTAAAAGTTTTAATTTAATCTTTTCATTTTCAAGAAATATTTAATATTGTTCTTTCATCCAAATTGATACTAACAATATTAATAAAGTTAGGTGAAAGGACAACATTGAATATTTTCTTAAAAATTAGATGACCAAAATTGAACATTTTAAAAATAATGGGATTAAAATGAACATTTTAAATGATTCAATTTGATTATCTAATTTTATACAATGTTCAATGTTATTCTTCTATCAAATTTTATTAATGTCATTAATGACAATTTAGATGAAATGATAATATTAAATATTTTTAAAAAATTTAAAGGACTAAATTGAACCATTTAAAAATAATAAAACTAAATTAAATCTTAAAAATAAAATAGAGATACTAAAAATATAATTTACTTTAACTTTTACTATCACTAATACCACTATTTTCACACATTTACCCATAAACAAAATGATGAGAATTTCAATAATACATCATTATCTTGTTCTCATCAACCTCGAATAAATCTTCATTCTTATACTTGTTAGCAAAACTGGAGGTAGTTGAAAACACTTTAAACACATAATTAAGTACAATATCATCATCATCACTAGAGTGAGTTTTTATTTATGTATGTCAAGTTCCAATTTTCTTTTATTAAACAAGTTATAGGTAACAACAATGCTTATGATCAAGAAACTCCTAGAACTTGTTAAGTATAATTTGGTTCACAAAGTCAAGGACTCATGAGATCATAAAGTACACATAGTTGTCTTTGAATTTAGGACAATAATAAACAAAATCATCATTAACATAAAAGTAGTCCATTTATTATTAATAGAAAAAAAATTAATATCAACAAGATTCATTACAATTTATAGAGAAATCAAGTTTTTTAAGTTAATAATTTTTATGCCTTAAAAAAATTAGTCTCAAACTATTTAATTCACACAAAAATGTAATAGAAAAAGATTTAAGCCATGGCAAAGGGTGATTATGTGAATCCCAAATCCTTAGGCCAAGCAAGTTTGTTAAAACTGACCAAACTTTAGAACTATCAAATTACATTGAACTCAACACCCTCGATGCAATTGCAAAAGCTACTCTTCCTAACAATTTTACAAACATTTAGAGCTATTCAAGTGTCCCCCACTGTCGAATGTTAACCGTTGAATCTATTGTAAAAACAATTTGATGTGTGAAAGATGTCCTCATGAACATCTCAAAAGAAATAACGCACGAGTCATGTGATCATACTATTTATCCAATAAACAATGAGTTAATCATTTATATATTGTCAGTATAAATTTTTTTTACACTGGTAATTAATTATATTTTTTAATTATGTCATGTCATTATTAAAAATAAATATGTTTACAGTGACATGAAACAATTAAAAAATATAATTAGGTGATTAACTCATAAACAATTATTTACACAAAAACAACTAAAAAATTAATTCCGTGTGTTTTTGTCATGTTTGATCTCCTTCGTCTTATGTATGTCGCAATAAATTTGGTTATCCTCGAAGTATGTTTTCACACCTACATTTGGCTTGAAACCAAAATTTCAATCAAAAGCAAGCAATATCAAAGTTACTTTTTGAAAGATCAATTTTTTGTTGGAAGAATTTAACCGGGATTATTGAATGCCAAACCCACTTTATATTTTCTACTGCATAATGAACTTCACACTTTTTTCCACTAATTATACATTCAAAATATACTTTTGATTATTATCAAAATAAATTGTATTTTATCAAACATACTTTTGAGAAAAAAATATTCAAACATAAAAGAGTAATTAACTTTAAAGTAGTTACTCTTCATTTATTTTCATTTTAATTGTCAAAAAAGAATTACTCCTTTAAACCGTTAAATTAAGAGAAAACAAAAATTGAGATAAAGAAAAAAGAATTTAAATCACTTTTGGATTATTTCTCCGTATTTTATTCTTAAGAAGCTAAAACTACTTTTTATTGGGTCATACATACATGCATATAAGTCGAGAAAGAGAAGTATAAAAAA